TTACTAAGATGGCAGCTGTGGTCTTCAGTAAGGGCGGAAAGTGATGCGTACAAGGTGAAGCTTCCTGTCCGACATCATCTGCCAGCGATTGTTTTTTGTTTTTGTTTTTGGGTTACGCATTACCTGCAGCGTACAGGACAGTGCTAGCTGCCGTTTCCAGTTACTAAGATGGCGGCTGTGGTCTTCGGTAAGGGCGGAAGCTTCCTGTGTGACATCTTCTCCTTTGGAAAACTCCATTGGATAAAACCAATCAGGAAGTGATGTCAGTCTGACCCCGGAAGTGGAAGTGGTGCTGCGGCCGTTTTGAAAGATGTTCTGTCTGCCCATACAAGTCATTACACTCATGTACGTTTAGGGCCAGTTCACATGCCATGTATTTCAGTTGCTTTTTTATCTGCATCCAAAACGCACAGAAAGTCGGTGATATGGTGGTCAGTGTCATAGTTCACATCAGAGCTTGCAGTTCCGGTGCATTCCGGATGCAGAAAAAAAAGACAAACAGGCTGCGTTTTTTCCTGCACAGAACCGCATTGGAACGCGGTAAACACGCACCATAAACACTCCGGAACGCATAAAAAATGCACTGGAACACACATGTCCCTGATTGAAAAGAAAGGGGGGGAAAAAACGCACCGGAACTCGTCACAAACGCATCAAAAATGCACCAAATTGCATCCAAAACGCACAGAAAGTAGGTGATATGGCTGTCAGTGCCATAGTTCACATCAGTGCTTGCAGTTCCGGTGCGTTCCGGATGCAGAAAAAAAAGGCTGCGTTTTCCCTGCATAGGACTGAATTGGAACATGGTAACGCATCAAAAACACACTGGAATGCACCAAAAAAACACTGGAGCGTATCAAAAACGCATGGGAATGCATCAAAAACACTGGAGCGTATCAAAAACGCATGGGAATGCACCAAAAACACTGGAGCGTATCAAAAACGCATGGGAATGCACCAAAAACACTGGAACGTATCAAAAACGCATGGGAATGCACCAAAAAACACTGGAACGTATCAAAAACGCATGGGAATGCACCAAAAACACTGGAGGGTATCAAAAACGCATGGGAATGCACCAAAAACACTGGAGCGTATCACAAACGCATGGGAATGCACCAAAAACAGTGGAACGTCTCAAAAACGCATGGGAATGCACCAAAAACACTGGAGCGTATCAAAAACGCATGGGAATGCACCAAAAATACTGGAACGTATCAAAAACGCATGGGAACGCACCAAAAACACTGGAGCGTATCAAAAACGCATGGGAACGCACCAAAAACACTGGAACGTATCAAAAACGCATGGGAACGCACCAAAAACACTGGAGCGTATCAAAAACGCATGGGAACGCACCAAAAACACTGGAACGTATCAAAAAACGCATGGGAATGCACCAAAATTGCATCCAAAATGCACAGAAAGTCGGTGATATGGTGGTCAGTGTCATAGTTCACATCAGGGCTTGCAGCTCCGGTGCATTCTGGAGGAAGAAAAAAAACAGGCTGCGTTTTTCCTGCACAGAACTGCACTGGAACACGGTAACAAGGACCAACAACACAGCGGGATGTGTAAAAAACGCACCGGAACGCATCAAAAACGCACTGGAACTCACATGTCCCTAATTGAAGAGAAAGGGGAAAAAAATGCACCGGAACCCATCAAAAACGCATAATAAATGCACCAAATTGCATCCAAAACGCACAGAAAGTCGGTGATATGGTGGTCAGTGTCATAGTTCACGTCAGCGCTTGCAGTTCCGGTGCGTTCCGGATGCAGAAAAAAAAGTAGAACAGTCTGCGTTTTCCCTGCACAGAACTGTTCTGGAACGCGGTAACATGCATAAAAACCGCACTGGAACGCATCAAAAATGGAACTGGAACGCACATGTCCTTATTTAAATTGAAGAAAAAGAAAGGGGGGAAAATGTACCGGAACGCATCAAAAACGCACTGGAACGCACCAAATTGCATCCAAAACGCACAGAAAGTCGGTGATATGGTGGTCATAGTTCACATCAGCGCTTGCAGTTCCGCTGTGTTCCGGATGCAGAAAAGAACGTAGAACTGTCTGTATTTTTCCTGCACAGAACTGTATTGGAACATGGTAAAATGCATGAAAAATGCACCGGAACGCATCAAAAACGCACTGGAACGCACATGTCCCTATTTAAATTGAAGAAAAAGAAAGGGGGAAACCGCAGCAGAACGCCTCAAAAACATAAAAACGCACCAAAAACAAACTGGAACGCACAGGCCCCTATTTAAATTTGAAGAAAGGGGAAAAAACTCACCGGAACGCGTGAAAAACACATAAAAAACGCACATAAAGTCGGTGATATGGCGGTCAGTGTCATTTCTCACATCAGCGCTCGCAGTTCCGGTGCATTTTGGATGAAGAAAAAAAAAAGTAGAGCAGGCTGCATTGTTTCTGCACAGAACTGTACTGGAACGCGGTAAAACGCACCAAAAACGCACATGTCCCTATTTAAATTGAAGAAAAAGGAAGGGGGAAAAACGCACCGGAATGTGTAAAAAAAACGCATAAAAAACAAACTGAAACGCACCAAATTGCACCCAAATGCACAGAAAGCAGGTGATAGGGCGGTCAGTGTCATTGTTCACATCAGCGCTCGCCGTTCTGGTGTGTTTTGGATGAAGAAAAAAAAGTAGAACAGGCGGCATTTTTCCTGCACAGAACTGTACTGGAATGTGGTAAAACGCACCGGAACGCACATGTCCCTATTTAAATTGAAAAAAAAAGGAGAAAAACGCACCGGAACGCGTTTAAAAACGCATAAAAAAAACCACATAAAGTAGGTGATAGGGTGGTCAGTGTCATCGTTCACATCAGCGCTTGCAGTTCCGGTGCGTTTTGGATGAAGAAAAAAAAAGTAGAACAGGCGGCATTTTTCCTGCACGGAGCTGTATTGGAACTCGGTAAAACGCACCGGAACGCACATGTCCCTACTTAATTGAGGGCTGGTTCACACTATAGACAAGCAGTCCAGACGACGCATTCCAGGTGCGTTTTTGCGTGCACGTTTTTCATGCGTTTCAGTTCATTTTTTCCCTCTTCAGTTGAAGCCCGGGTTCACACTGATGCGTTGCGGCACGTCACATGATTTGTATGCGGTGCGATCGGAGTCGTATATTTTGTGTGGCTCTATTCGCACCGCATCCGCACCAAAAACGTGCGGGAGCCTCTTTTGTTCCGCATTAGAATCGGATCGCACGGGTATTCCCACCATTGTGATCCCATCCTGCACATCGCACTGCGTTTTGTGGACTGATTTCCGGGTGTTGCTCTAACAATGCAGCGTGTTCTACTTTTGGATGCAGAAAAAAAAAGCAACTGAAACGCATGTAGTGTGAACTGGCCCTTAGCTCAGGCATGCCGGTGGGAGGGAGGGTGTGGTTAGCTGAGAAAGCCCCTCCTCCCCTCCTGAAGACTCCTGGGATGCATGACATCATTTGCCTAGGCAGGAAACCAGGAAGTAACTGAAGAAATGTAAAAAAAAAAAAAAGTAAATGGGCCGTAGGCTGGCCATACATGCGTCCATTCTCCAATGAGTTTTCACTTGATAATCGGACCTGAGAAAATTGGTCGATCTTGGCTCTGTTAGTGGGGCGATGGCACCGGACGACCGTCGTCCACAAACTCTTCCCACACAGTTGGGAGCATGAAATTGTCCGGAATGTCGCCTTATCCCCCCCGGCGGTGTCCCCGAGTGTCGCTCGGGGGAAAGTTTCAGCACCACAAGCGGTGACCCCCCCGAGCTACACTCAGGAAAAGGGGCGGACTGACAGCTCATGGGGAACGGGTACCCCAATTTTGACAGGTACCCACTCTCACATCTGTTGCGACCACCTAGGTGATCAGAAAGGGATGTTGTCCTCACCCCAAGGGTGGACCGACAACTCATGGGGCCCCCGGGCAATAGGGGATCATGGGGCCCCTGTGTCCTTGCCCAAACTCAAAAAAGCCTATGAAAAAGGTACCAGGGGCATCTCATGGGGCCCCCTACTGACCCTGGATGTGAGAGTGGATACCTGTCAAAATTGGGGTACCCGTTCCCCAAAGGTGCCGATTCCCAACGGGGTGAGGGGGACCAGTACTGAAAGCGGAGCTCCCCGTTTTGATGGCACTCCGCTTGAAGGAGTTTCTTCCAATGAGATGCCACGTTTTATAAGAGTACTCCTGATCACGGGGGCCGACTACTTTGTGTCCTAGGCAAGACCAGCTGCTTGCACCCCCCAAAAAAGAAAGATAAATTAATAAAAAATTTTAAAAACGGTAGAAAATTTTCAAATCAACAAAACATGAGACTGCTAAACTTCTTTATATCTGCAAAAGTTAGTGTCATGCTACCAGCCCAGGGGCGGACTGACCATTTGGAAACTTGGGCACTGCCCGGGGGCCCGGGGTCAGTAGGGGGCCCCATGAGATGCATTGACTAAAGATAGTTTTTTTGGAGGTTACAAAATAAATTACTGTATCACCCAATATATGGCTTCCATTCAGTAGCCCAAAGAGGCAGACAAAAAAGAAGGGTTTGTGAAAAGGAATTCACAGAAAAGCGGCTACATTATGAACAGAATGTGATACTCAGAAAAATTTCCAAAAATTATGCTTTATTACATGTAAATATTTGACATATGGGCAATCGCCCTGGTTTACCTTCACCTCAGTATGAGACAATACACACAGACCTAAAACCATATAAAATAACACCAAGACCGGTCTGGATAGATGTGCTGCAAAGACAATGACCACTAAAGTCTAAAGTCTTTGTAGCACTGGCACATAGGTTAACACTTCCCAAAGGAGGTGTACACAAAAATTATACCATAGGTATATAGTGTCACATGTAATAAATATAAAGACGTGTCATGACTAGAGATGAGCGAATCGAACCTGGCGAAGTGGAATTCGTTTCGAATATTAGGAAAAATTCGATTCGCGACGAATCCGAATATTAGCAAACTTCGGATGCACGAATCGAATTTTCCCCGATCAGATCAGGCACCGATTTTCATCCCTTCTACAGCCGGCAAAAAGTGTCCCTGCAGAGAGCTCCGCTATTTCTGACAGTTCTCTGACAGTTCTTTCACATTTACAGCGATTGAAACATTGTATCTATTTGTTTCCATTTAGGATACAGATGTTTTTATTCGGAAACAAATAGATACAATGTTTCAACCGCTGTAAATGTGAAGGAACTGTCAGAGAACTGTCAGAAATAGCGGAGCTCTCTGCAGGGACACTTTTTGCTGTACTGGAATTCTTCTTCATCCTCATCCTACTTCTTCTTCTTCTTCTTCTTCATCCTCATCCTACTTCTTCTTCTTCTTCTTCATCCTCATCCTACTTCTTCTTCTTCATCCTCATCCTACTTCTTCTTCTTCTTCTTCTTCATCCTCATCCTACTTCTTCTTCTTCTTCTTCATCCTCATTCTACTTCTTCTTCTTCTTCTTCTTCTTCATCCTCATCCTACTTCTTCTTCTTCTTCTTCATCCTCATCCTACTTCTTTCTTCTTCTTCTTCTTCATCCTCATCCTACTTCTTCTTCTCCTTCTTCTTCTTCTTCTTCTTCTTCATCCTCATCCTACTTCTTCTTCTTCTTCTTCTTCATCCTCATCCTACTTCTTCTTCTTCATCCTCATCCTACTTCTTCTTCTTCTTCTTCTTCATCCTCATCCTACTTCTTCTTCTTCTTCATCCTCATCCTACTTCTTCTTCTTCTTCTTCATCCTCATCCTACTTCTTCTTCTTCTTCTTCTTCATCCTCATCCTACTTCTTCTTCTTCATACTCATCCTACTTCTTCTTCTTCTTCTTCTTCTTCTTCATCCTCATCCTACTTCTTCTTCTTCTTCATCCTCATCCTACTTCTTCTTCTTCTTCTTCTTCATCCTCATCCTACTTCTTCTTCTTCTTCATCCTCATCCTACTTCTTCTTCTTCTTCTTCATCCTCATCCTACTTCTTCTTCTTCTTCTTCATCCTCATCCTACTTCTTCATCCTCATCCTACTTCTTCTTCTTCTTCATCCTCATCCTACTTATTCTTCTTCTTCTTCATCCTCATCCTACTTCTTCTTTTTCTTCTTCTTCATCCTCATCCTACTTCTTCTTCTTCTTCATCCTCATCCTACTTCTTCTTCTTCTTCTTCTTCATCCTCATCCTACTTCTTCTTCATCCTCATCCTACTTCTTCTTCTTCTTCTTCTTCATCCTCATCCTCTTCTTCTTCTTCTTCTTCTTGCCATGGGCCCCTATATACCGCCTCCTCATGCTGCTGCCAGGTCCAGAGTCTCTCATGGGTCCCTGTACGGCCTCCCATTGCTGCTGTCTCCATCGCCACACTCTGCCATGTGCCACTTTCAGGTCTCCTCACACTGCTGGTGGGTTCCATTTTGTCATAGGGTGCTGTATGGCCTCCCATTGCTGCTGCCTCCACCGCCACACTGTGGCTCCACACTCTGGTTTTGGCCCCGTGACTGCCCAAATGAGTGAAGTGTGCGGTGATTCTAAGATCGACGGCACTCATCTGCATGTCATACTGACTGACAGTATTATTTCTCTTCCCCAGCAGACTCCAAGGACATTTAAATTAAAGGTACAGTGTTCTGCACTAATATAAAGTCTCTCTGAAGCCTAGAAACACCCTTTTATAAGTTAAATTCGCAGCGAATATATTCGACTCAAATCAAATTTATTCCACAAATTCGGCGAATCAGCCGAATCGAATTTTTTAATAATTCGCTCATCTCTAGTCATGACCATATAGGTTCTATCCCATAGAGGGGAATTCCCAAAAATTATACCAAAGGTATGCAATATCACATGTATACAATGCAGCGAGCACAGTGTGCGTCAAAAGAGAGGCATAACCATAAGCCTATGTTAGGCAGCAAAAGGATATCACAAATGAAATACAGTACAGTCCCATGCCGGCACATGTGGTTGGGGCCCATTCATCTGTAATATAAGTGACTGATTCTTAGGACTTTTAGATATAAATATCACCCCAGTTGTTGCCTGGATGGAGAAACAGATGCAAGTAGCAGAACACTGCTTCAAGTGATTTCTTCACCACAGCATGTGGACTACACACCACTTTTTGTTGAAAACAAGATAAGGCCCAGCGGCTCCTCCGCCCGTTGAAATATATGTGGCATGCCTTGTTTCCTATATAAAGCACCATAATGTCCCCATCCTGTAGTAAGACAAACAATATGAGGGGGAAGTCACTGTAAGAGCTTTCACTCAATAATAGACGTTTATGTCATATAGGTCACAAGGGACCTTAAATCTAGTGTCCTGTAATAGTCCACTCACCACCATGTCTTTATATTTATTACATGTGACACTATATACCTATGGTATAATTTTTGTGTACACCTCCTTTGGGAAGTGTTAACCTATGTGCCAGTGCTACAGGGACTTTAGACTTTAGTGGTCATTGTCTTTGCAGCACATCTATCCAGACCGGTCTTGGTGTTATTTTATATGGTTTTAGGTCTGTGTGTATTGTCTCATACTGAGGTGAAGGTAAACCAGGGCGATTGCCCATATGTCAAATATTTATATGTAATAAAGCATAATTTTTGGAAATTTTTCTGAGTATTACATTCTGTTCATAATGTAGCCGCTTTTCTGTGAATTCCTTTTCACAAACCCTTCTTTTTTGTAGGCCCCATGAGATGCCCCTGGTACCTTTTTCATAGGCTTTTTTGAGTTTGGCCAAGGACACAGGGGCCCCATGATCCCCTATTGCCCGGGGGCCCCATGATCCCCTATTGCCCGGGGGCCCCAAGAAGTGCCAGTCCGCCCCTGCACCAGCCCCAATATTAAAAAAAGTGTCAAGGCCGGACGGTATCTGTGGCTGGCAGTGGCAGGGTGACAGTGAGTGGAGGATGATGGATCCACACTCTGACAGATCCCGGGCTGGAACTCTCCAGGCAATGGGGGGAGGTAAAATGCTGTGACAGAAGGCAGCCCAGCCCACACACACATAGAAAACACCTGAACTGAGCGATCCCACACAGTGACAGATCCAACACAACACACCACCACCAACACTGACACAGATCAGCAGGCACTGGAAGAGCAGGCTGGGGGATGGTGATGATGTCATCACTCACTGACACATTGCACATGTGATGTCCGGCCGGCCGGGTCACACTCACGCAGACACGAGACATCAGACATTACCTTCCTCTGCAGGCGCAGCTCCACCTCTACTGTTGAATGGAAAGAGAAGGGCTGGAACTCCACAGTGATCAGCAGCCACCAGCCGGCTTGCAGTAAGGACTGAGTCTTAGAGGAACACTGGAAGGAGCTGCAGCTCAGATACTACACTAGCCCCAGACATCTTCCTTTGTCCTTTCTTCTTCCCCTCTGCCGCCCCTCGTCAGCTGGAGGATCCTTCATGATGTGGCGGTGTCACATACATGTGGCCTGTCCTGCACCCAGGCGCCCCTAAGTGGCAGTGCACCCTAAGCGGGCCGCCTAGTTTGCCTAGTGGAAGCACCGGCCCTACCTGCTGACACACAGAGGCAGAAGGGGAGGTTTCCTCAGCGGCTTTGGCACAGAAGAATAGAGCAAGTGCCTTTGGATTCGGGTTTATATGAAGGATCCTGAATAAGAGAGTCATTTAGTTTCCAGTGCCATGGACGTGGCACAGTTTCCACAATTAGTAGGAAACAGTGGGCGGGGGGGGGGCAGCCAGAGAGAGTACAAGAGCCAATTGTTGCCCTAAGCAACAGAGAAAATGCTTCTTGTGGAATAGTCAATCCCAATGTACATTTGGCGAATGGCCAAGTAGAATGTCCAATCTTTGTCTTGTGTGTCAATGGTTCTCCACTATAAATCGATGGAATGGAATGGTTGCCTCGGCGTGGAGAAGAACCTTTTCACTTGTATTCTTTGCAGGTCCAGTGAGGCAGAAAAGATGAAAATATCGTCCAGGTAAACAATTAAAAAGTGGTGTAGGAACCCTAAAAATACAATTCAGAAAGTGCTGGAAAGTGGTCGGGGCATTGCCCAGTCCGAACGGCATTACAAGATATTCTAAATATCCGAAACGGGTTCGGAAGGCCATTTTCCACCCGTCCCCCTCTGATACGGACTAAATTGTAGGTGCCCTGAAGATCCAGGTTCATGAAGACTTGGGCGGTTCGGAACCTTTGAAAGAGTCCAGGAATGAGAGGCAGCGGGCAGCGAATTGTAAAGGGTCCACACAGGGTTAAAGTGTGTGATTTTGTTTTTTTTTTTTAACAAAGAGAATTCCCTGCAGGAGACAAACATGGATGAATGAGCCCCATTTCCAGATTTTCGGCAATATACTTCAGTAAGGCCTCCAACTCAATCTCAGACAGAGGAAAGGTCCGGCCAAAAGGAATGTCTGCATCAGGGAGCAATTTGATGGGGCAATCGTAAGGCTGAGGGGGGGGGGGGAGGGGGGTAACGTTGCTGTTTTCTTCCTAACGAACATGTTCAGGAAGTCATGGTAGGAGGAAGGAACATTCTGACAGATGCTAGGTTGGGTCACCAAACAACTGGCAGCATTCGTGGACTCGGGCAAAGCACTGCTAGCGGCAGTAGACTGATGTACAGTAACTTCCCACTTTGGCCAGTTGATCTTGGGGTTATGGACTCGCAGACATGGAATTCCGAGAATTACAGGGAACATTGGAGAGGATAACACATCCAAGCATAGGAATTCCTGATGTCCAGAGCCTGTAAGGTCCACGCATTGCCTGAAGGTTGACTTCCCCTTCCACCATCTGTAACGAGATGGGAAGAATGATATGAAAGGAGGAAGATCTGCAAACTTGAAATAAGAGGAGCACTGAGGAAAGGATTTACTAGGCTTTACTGGGCAGTCGTGTAGAAGTCAGGTTCCTCTGCAGTAATGACAGAGGTTGACCTGTCAAACACGCATCTTCTCTTCTGGAGTCGAGGCAGAACGTACCAGGCCGATCTGCATAGGTTCCCCTATAAGATCGACTGTAGTAGCAGAAGGTACTTTGAGCAGCATCCTGGAAGGCCTGTAGGATTGAGTTCCTTCAGATTGTTGCTCACGTAGCCTACGGTCAAGTTGAATGGCCAGTTGAATGAGGTTCTCAAGTCAAGTTGAGCCTCAACCCTAGCCAACTCGTCCTTGAGTGCCTCGGACAGACCACGTTGGAACTCATATTTAAGAGTGGCTTAGTTCCAGAACATGTCATCTGATCACTTGCGAAACTCAGCTATGTAATCTTCTACTATATATATAATAAAGCGAACGCTCCTTAAATATAAATAAGCAGCTAAAGCACTAGAGGAGATCACAACCGCCTCACGTCTAAATAATAAAATATAAAGTGCAGCGCTAAAATGTCAAACCAACAGTTCGTTCAAAAAAGTTTGCGCAATATTTCAATTGATATAGTGACAACAGCTGTGAAAGATCCAGTAGAATTGACAGAAATGCGCACTCACCGACTGCGCATAGGAAATGCGCATGTATGTATTAAGATCAGCAGGCGTCGTTTCCCTCGAGAAGGGGTGTCATCAAGCGGTGGTCTGCTGGACTCATGTGGCA